TAAATATGTTGACAGAGATATTCATATAGATATTGGCTTATATATATATATATATATATATATAGATTGTATATATATATATATATAGATATTAATGCGTATAGCTAGATGCTTCATAGACATACTTTATCTATAGGGAGCTTCTCTCTTTGAGGGGTATGAGGTGTATATACACCTTTTAGTATACCAGACAGAAACAGAGACAGAGACAGAAGCAAGTAGTCTCCTGCAGCAGCAGCACCTGTCTCTGCTGCAGTTTAGAGACCCTGCAGCTGCGGAGACACCTAAACAGGAGACAGCCGGTGCTGCTGCTTAGGCTGAGGGGCCTAGCCCAGGGGCAGAGAAGAAACAGCAAACAGCAGCAAGCAGCAAAAGGAGACAGCAAAGGAGACAGCAAAGGAGACAGCAAAGGAGACAGTAGAAGCAAGGATAAGGAGACAGTTCCCAACTGGCAGCAACACCGCGCTGCGATGTACGCACACTGCGCCCCACCACGACCTTATTTGCTGCTCAGCAGCACAGCAGCAACAACAGCAGCAGCAACACGTGCAACAACAACAACAACAACAACAGCAGCAGCAGCAGCAGCAGCAGCAGCAGGTGGTCCCCCCTGTAGCCTCTACAGCTCAGCTTCTTAACAAGATATTAATAGCTCTTCTTCTTTATATTACAGTTTATCTATTTCCCCTATAAGCAGAAAAACTTCAATTTAAGAAAAAAGCTAGAGAGATGCTGGGGGGCCCCCCGGGGGGCCCCCGGGGGCCCCTGGGGGCCCCCCATCAACCACCGCCTGGGGGGCCCCCCGGGGGCCCCCTTGGGGGGCCCCTTATTTGGGGGCCCCCATGGGGGCCCCTAGGAAGGATGATATATGTTGTTGTTGTTTTCTTTGTGAATTGTTTAAATAAAATAAAAGTAAAGAGATATGAATAGAGAGAGATGCCGAAGAAGATATAATTTATGTTTTTCTGGGTTTAACTTTAATATATCTCTGAATAACTTCAATCTCTTTATACCCATAAACCCTAGACACTGCAAGCACAAATGAGGGTTTAGGGTTTAGGGCTTAGGGTTTATAGATGGGTTTATTATGCTGTATAAGGCAGAAGGCTGTGCTTTCTATAGAAAAGTCTCCTACACTGCTAAGTGTGGGGCCCAGCAACAACAGCAGCAAAGCAGGTTTTGGGAGACCGGTGGCCTAGGGCTAGGGTTTAGGGTTTAGGGTTTAGGGTTTAGGGTTTATGAGGTTGTTGTGCTCGGGGTTCAGGGCTGAAGGTCCAGTCGTTCGGGTTTAGGGTTTAGGGTTTAGGGTGTAGGGTCCTGGCTGACGGTGTAATGTTTAGGGTTTATGGCTTAGAGTTTAGGGTTTAGGGTTTAGGGTTTAGGGTTTGGGGTTTGGGGGCTGCGATGGGCTTTGTTTCTCTTTTCTTCTCCACGAGGAGGGGCCTCGAGTTGCCTCTCCTGAAGGAGCTCAAAGCCCTACCCTGCCTCGCCCATGCAGCAGCAGCAGCAGCAGCAGCAGCAGCAGCAACAGCAACAGCATCAGCAACACAAGCAGCAGGACGAACAGCAGCAGCAGCAGCAGCAGCAGGAACAGCAGCAACGGCAACAGCAGCAGCAGCAGCAGCAACAGCAGCAGCAGCAGATGGCATTAACAATGAAGCTGCAGCGGCTCCCACTCTGTCTATGTCCCCGGGTGGGGTGCTGCTGCAGCGCGTGCCTCTGCAGCTGCTGCAGCAGCTCTGCTGCAGTGTACGTACAGCAGAGTGCGTCTGGCTGCGTCTGTGGGGCCCCCTCCGCTGCAGCAGCCCTGAGAGGCTTCAATCACTTGTTAGCAAGACGCCTTGGAAGAAGGTAAGGAGACCTCCGCCTTGCTGCTCATGTTGCTGCTGCTGCTGTTGCTGCTGATGCTGCTGCTGCTGCTACTGCAGGGGGCATAACGGCTGCTGCTGCCGCCGTCTTGGCTGCTGCAGCGGTGGCGATCCTGCCGTATATATTACTGCTGCTGCTGCAGCAGCAGCAACAACAACAGTCCCGTATCCTGCCCATTCCAAGCTGATTGCTCGGCTGCGCGTCGCTGTTGCTGCTGCATCTGTTGCATCTGCTGCATCTGCTGCATCTGCTGCATCTGCTGCATCTGCTGCATCTGCTGCTGCTGCTTCTGCTGCAGTACATCAAGCCCTTGAATGCGCTGCCTCTGATCCCGCTGCGAATTGTCTCCATAGACTCTCCTTTAGGCGACTGCCCCTCTTTACGTTCTGCGCTAGCAGCAGCACTGCAAGAAGCAGCAGCAGCAGCAGCAGAAGACGAGCAGCCAGCAGCAGCAGCAGCAGCAGAAGCAGCAGCAGAGACTGCACTAGCTGCAGCAACTCACCGCTTGAGAATTGTTTGTGTGAAGGGACAGGCTTTAGCAGACTTGCTGCTGTCTACCCCCCTAGACCCGCGCCCGTACAGATACCTACCCCACCTGCCAGCAGCAGCAGCAGCAGCTTCTGCTGCTGCTGCTGCAGGAGCAGCAGAAAGTTCAGGGGCCGCAAGGGCGGCGTTAGAAGAGCTGAGGTTGGCTGCTGCTGCTGCTGATTTGCAGCGCTCTGCTCGTGCAGCAGCAGCAGCAGCAGAAGAGTCCCCCTGGTCACTAGCTGCTGCTGCTGCTGCTGCTGCTGCACCCTCCCGTGCTGCAGCCTCCTCACTCTTGAGCCCTTCAGAAATGCGTGATGAAGGGCCCCACACCCAGCAGCAGCAGCAGCAGCAGCAACACCAGGAGCAGGAAGAGGAGAAGGCGTCGGTGGAACGGTGCAGCATCAGCAGCAACAGCAGCAACAACAACAACAATAGCAGCAGCAGCCCCAGCAGCTCTCTCCCTGAGGCGGCCCCAGCTGCTTCTTCCTCTGCCTATTTAGCCTATCACACACCTCAATTAAACAAACCCTTGGGGGCCCTCAGGGGGCCCCCTGGAGCTGTCGCTGCACCTCTAGCTGACACAGAAGGGGGGCCCCCAACGAACAATAAACAGCGGGGGCCCCCAGGGGCCCCTGGGGCCCCTCCTGATACCCTGGGGGCCCCTGATCATACCGTAGGGGCCCCTCCTGATACTCTGGGGGCCCCACAGTCCCCTGGAGGACTGAGAGGGGCCCCCGGAGCCCCCCAGAGGGCCCCCACAGTCCTTAAGGAGGGGGCCCCTGGGGCCTCCCAGGGGGGCCCCTCAGTTCTTAAGGAGGGGCCCCCTGGGGCCTCCCAGGGGGGCCCCTCAGTCCTTAAGGAGGGGCCCCCTGGGGCCCCTGGTAATGGGGTGGGTGTTGATGAAAGTGCTGCAGGGTTGTTGCCTCGGTCTGCTGCAACAGTTTCAGTGCTGCGTCTCCTTTATCTACGGGGAGGCTGGGTAGCAGAGGCCCTTGCGCACGAAGCAGCAGCAGCAGCAACAGCAGCAGCAGCAAGCAAGCAAGCAGCGGTTGCTGACTGGGGAACAGCTGCAAGTGTAACTGAAGAAGGAGACATCCCTCTGGCTTGTGCTGCTGCTGCTGCTGGCCTCCGCAGAATTCTAAAGAGAGAGAAACGCCTCATAGTGAGGCTTATTACACTGTGCAGACAGCACCGAAGCAGCAGCAGCAGCAGCAGCAGCAGCAGATCCAGCAGCAGCAGCAGCTGGAGTTTCAGCCAGTTGTTGGGAATCTGCCCCGCTGCTCTTATAATGTTGCTATGGCTTTGCTGCTGTGCTGCTGCTGCTGTGCTTTTGCTGCTGTGCTGCTGCTGCTGCAGCTGTGGGATCCCTTCTGCGGCGGAGGATCGCTGCTGCTTGAAGCAGCTCTGCTGCTGGGGGGCCTCTCCCCCTCTTGCAGCCACATCCCCTCTCCTCGTTCTATCATTCCTGCGCTGCACGTACACCCGGAGGACCAGCAGCAGCAGCAGCAGCAGCAGGGGCAGCGGGCTGCTGGGGGTGGTGCTGGGTCTGCTGTTGCTGCTGCTGCTGCTGCAAGTGCAGGTGCATGTACACCTCGAATAACTCTTGTAGGCACGGATGAGAGGCCGCTGCTGCTGCAGGCAGCGAGGCAGCGCCTTCGTAATTTTTTCTGCTTCTTCTACAACAACCAGCAGCCAATGGACTTGGAGATGCAGCAGCAGCTGCTCGAGCAGGAAGAGCAGCAGCAGCAGCAGCTGCAGCAGCAGCAGCAGAAACAGCAGCAGCAACAGCAGCAGCAAGGCCTTCCAAGGTGAATACACATGAAACATCAAAGGGGCTCTTGCTGCTGCTGTCTTCGCCTCTCTGGAGGATGAGGACGCTTTGTGTCTCCATGCGCTGCTGCTGCTGCTGTTGTTGCTGTTGCTGCTGCTGCTGCTGCAGGCCTCCGTTTGCTGCAGGTCTGCACTTGGCTTCGCCCTTTGACGTGTCTCCTTTCGTCTCTGGCAGCATTATCCTCACAAGGGTGCCGGGGCCCAGAGAAGCAAAGGTCCGTCACAGCAGCAGCACCTGCTGCTGCTGCTGCTGCTGCAGCAACAGCAACAGCTGTAGCAGCAGCAACAGACGCAGCAGCAACATCGGGGGCATCTTCTGTTCCAGCATGCCAAGCACAGCCAAACCAGCTCACTCAGCAGCAGCTGCAGCAGCAGAAGCAGCAGCAGCAGCAGCAATTGGGCTGATGCAGCAGCAGCAGCAGCAGCAGCAGCAGAGGCGTTGTGTGTTGGAGTGTCTCTGCAGCGTCTGCCTTCTGCCCGGGGGAAGCCCTTTGATTTTTATGAAAAGTTTGGTGGCCTCATCGCCTCACGCAGCGACTGGAGAGGAGTATTTGTCTTAGTGCAGGTTTGTGCTGTCTCCTGTCTCCTTTTGTTGCAGATAGAGAAGGGGCTCCCAGCTCTTTGTTTATTCAGTGATTAGACAGGGGCCCCACCCCCTCTGTCTCTTCATCAAGGGGACAGAGGACGGGCCCCGCTGTCTCTTTCTAAGGTGCCCCTATATATATATATATATATATATATATATATATATATA